TTCTGAAGATGATAATGTATCTTTACATCGCTCTTCAGTAGTTCCCGACCACCATCTTCAACTCAATTTGATTCTGCATGTACATCTTGAGATACGGTTACATCCCGAATGACCTAACATTATTGATAGTAGGAAGCTTAGGGCTTAAATGGTAATATTGAATTGATATAAATGTGTCCCCTTAACCCGTGTAGTATGCTGAATATTGTTTGGTTATTATATTATGTTATTTGTAAGTGTGTTCGTGTTCTGATTATATTTATCTATAACATGTCTGATTTTTGTTTGATGTTTTATCAGTATTAATTTGTGCATTGAAGTATTTATGTTATCTACATGGGATCCTCTATGGATGGTATATCCCTATCCTGTTTCTGTATGGGATCCTCTACGGAGGGTAATATCCCCATCATGTTTCTACATAGGATGCTCTACGGAGGGTAATGTATTTGTCCTGTTTCTGCATAGAATTCTCCATAGAGGATAATATCCACTTCTTGTTTCTGTTTGGGATCCTTTTTGGAGAATTGTTTCCCCATTCTGATTTTTGTTGAGTTCCTGCTTGGAGGTTAACTCAGATTCCTCTTCGGATGATAACATCTTCATTTGTTTTTTTTATTTATTCTCGGCTATCTTCGGAGGTTTGTAGTTCCTGTGCGGAAGATAATGTTCTTGTTATGTTAATCTAAAATAAAAGGTAAGGTTGTGAACTTCTGTTGTGGCATTCTGTTGGTAAATATATGAATTTTTTTATTCTAAATATTATTTTGTTTAGTAAATTAAACTTGAATTATTTATATTATCTAATTATATCTAAAGGACCCACTGAATTTTGTAGCTTATTCTATTTTAGTCTTCCTTTCTTTCTTCTTTTCTTTTTTTATAGGATCGATTTGGCTATAGGAGGTGAAGTATTGATTTCATATTGTAAGAGGTTATATATTATTTAAATATTATTCTCAGCCTAATGACATAAGTTTATCTATGATATTTTAATTGGTAAACGTTTTTCTTAAAAATGATTTATGAACGGGGCTATTATGATTCAATAGTAACTATTAAGTTAGGTCTAAGGGTTCCACTTTCAATTTGAGTAGTGAGAGTTAAAGGAGACTGATATATCTACTAGCAGTAGTCTCAAAAAAATATCAAATTAATTAGCAATAGCCATAGTCGTGTTCTATCATCTATGAAAACCAACTTGAGTCGAAACATTTCGAGTTCAATTTCAGGAAAGCGCAAACAATAGCTAAAAAATTAATGAAAAAAGATTAATTAAACTTTGCAGTAATAAACATTCAATTGTTTGAACCCAAATTTAGAAACATGAGAGCTTTAAGGTCTATTGAGAGTTGGTATTAACAGCAGCAACGGTAGAAACCATGGAATCTACACCACAAATATTGCGACCCCTGCAGATCTTGTAGAACCCATTCTCGCCCCAGTTTTGTCCCCATGAGTTCTTAATGATCCAGTATGGTTTTTCCTTCATGCGAACTGGTGCATACCCAGCCGAACCATACCCCACCAACAACACTCCATGATCAAGGCGTTTGGAGCATATGTATGGGCATGAAATCCCCCCAATGTAGGTCTGCATGTACACCGCATTGATAGCCACTGCGTTCAAACAAAACAACCAATAATTGAATTCCGTAAGCGAGAAACTAACCGGAACGAGATCAACATGACATAAATTATGCATAAGAAGATAATATTTACCTGCAAGAGGACCACTCTTGACAAGATTAGCAGCGATTTGATCCTCATCTAAAGAAACAACACTGAAGTTAGCCACCTTGGCAGCGATCTTGGTCTTGTCGAATTTGCAGGTCCCTCGATCAGTGCCGGTGTAAGGGTAGTCCTCCGCCGCATAAGTCCACCAGCTTTGAGAGTATACTCAAAAGCACTGTTCATTAGCCCACCATTGCATCCAGAATCACATGAACCTTTCTCTTCTGGATCACACTGCAAACCAAAAAGATTGCATGTAATGTGAAGTAAACAGCTGAAATTATATTTGATCTTTTATTATCATGTTCATCGATTCTTTCGTTTTTGGCAGCTTAAAATAGAAAAAAGAGGTTGAAAATGGAACCTCGTGATCGCAATCCACGAGCTGTTGTTCGCTGAGGCTCACGAGTTTTCCGGTTGCCAAAAAGTTAGCACCTTCCAAGGCTCCTGTTGTACTAAAAGACCAGCATGATCCGCATGAACCCTAATAACAAAACCCAGTATAAAATTCATAAATAAATTATATGAAATCAGAACTTATAAAATTGAAATTCTTTAGAAAAAAAGTAAGGACCTGGTTTTTGACGGGTGAAACAGCTCCTTTTTCTCTCCAGTCGAAATCTTCAGGCAAATTATCGGTAGGCAAAATCGGTGCCTCGGTCGCATCTTTAGGCAATCTCAATCTCCTTAATCCCAAATACGCCTTCCTGAACTCGCCCGGAGTCAAATCGGAGAACCGAGTCACCCCGTGAGTCGCAGATGGGTCAAGCTTCTGATGACGCGCCGCCCGTTTCAGGTTATACTGGAAAACCTTGAACCTATAATCGTGCTCCTCCTCTGACCCGTACGATTTCTTGAACCGGTCCTTGAAGAGCGAGAAGTGATGCACCGCCGTCAGCAGCGGTGGCTCGGCTCCATCGTGACCGTCCGTTACTTGCTCGATCAACGGATCAACTTGGAACCCCCCCGCGGAGAAAGTCTCCGTACAAATCACGCCAGCTAAGTAACAAGACAAAATAACAAACATCGAAAGAATGCGATATTCCATTCTTTTCTTCTTTCCTCAAACCGAAAGTTTTTATTTTTTAGGGAAACGGGGAACGAAGGCGCCTTATTTAAAGGCGGCGGAGGCACTAAAATTTTCAAAACTAACAGTCATGAGGGTGTTTTGGGTAATTTACAAGTTTCAATTTTAGTTTTACTTTTAAGTCCTTCTATCATGAGAAATTTTAAATTTAATCATTTGTAGGTTCAAATTAGTTATTTCGTTAAAACGATGGCACAAAATATATTTTTACTATTTACTGATTACACAATCAAGATGGTATAGAATTCTTAACTAACAATATAAATTTACATGACACTTAAAATCTTAATTTTAATTAAAAATATACAAATAAATTAATAGTAATAATTTAAGATTATTATTAATTCAGATCTTTCCATAATAATATAAGAGTAGTTGATCAAATTATTCTAGATTAAAATAAATAAATTATTTTGGATCAAAGTAAATGGATTAGTCAATTAAGTCTATAGTTAACACTTAAATCTAAGGTTTAAATCCTAAATAATCTATCGTAAAATAATAAGAAAAAAATTAAATTGGATTAGGAGGATCGTCACATAATGAGTTTTTGTAAAATTTGATCCGAAATATTCGATTAATAATCGGGCACAAGTGGTTAAATAAAAAAAAGTAAAGGGGTTAAAGTTTAAAATCTGTTTTAGTAGAAGGATTAAAATCATGATTACGCCATTTACAAAAGGTTGCTGAATAGCAAGGTAAGTTAGCTCCAATTGTAGAAAGACACGTGGAAGAGTGGAGTGCTGGAGTTGAATGGCGGTTGCTTTCAGGTTTTGGGCTGTTCTGTAACCGCCGAAAGGAAATTGAATTCCATGAAAATAGGGAAGATGCTGGATTAGGATTGGACCATTCGGGTTCGGTTCGGTTACTTTTGACAATATTTTGGGCTTTAATTTGACCATTCTTTTGATTTTGTTTGATCAGTGATGCCTGTAATAACCGTTTCAATAACGCCGTTATTTAAACGGTTTTGTCATCAGCTGTTTTGGAACTGTTGAGTTGGTTTTAGCGGTTAAAAGATATCCGGTATATTTTAAGATTTTGAGTTTTAACATGACGTCTGTAAAAATATTTTAATATTCATCATCAAATGGTTGAAATTTTTAAAATAAATATTATTTTATATACATTTTAGACTAAAAAATAATAAAACGAATAAAAGACAAGATATAGAATTTGACGGCAAAATCATGATACTTTACCTTGTCTTTTTTTTTCTGGACCAACAAACACTTGTTAATGCTTTTTATTTGATATTATAATATATTGTGATGACCGATGGGCCTATAATTGATCCCATTTTTCAATATATATGAATGAATTATTAGTTAAATATAATGAGAAATATATAGCTGAAATGGTAAATTTAATATAAAACCTAATAAGTTTCTAAATATTTAGGGTTTGTCATCAGAAACCACACAGAATAAAAAAAAATATGATAGTGTATTTAAATTTATTAATAAAATAAAAAAAATTAGATTTTGATGTTAAAATTTTGAATATTTGATTTTTATATTTTAGATTAACACAAATTTTAAAGAAAATATTATTACTATTATAAGATGAGACATCAGAAAAATCAATTTATGAACCTTAGTTCCCAATCAATTCTCTTTAATTAGAAATTAATTACTTAAGTGATGATCATTGTCGGTTGTCGTATACGGGAATCAATAAATCTCAAATATTATCATAAGATTTGAATTGACCCCCTCATTCAATTCATCCAATCATTCTAAAATATCTCTTTAAATCCATGAAATCATCTTAAAACTTCCAAAATTATTTATAATCTTACAAAATCATAGAATGGGTTCGAGCATTTAATTCAATTAATTGATGTTTGATTTTTTTGAAAGAACGTGGTCTCTGAATTTTGGAGCTTATTAAGTTATTCTTACTAATTTTACCTTATTTAAAAAAAAAACCTTTTAAATACTTCAATTTTCTTATTATTTCTCAATATGATCATATTACGATAATAAATAAATAATCCAAAGGAGGTTGAGGGGATATTCTTTTGTTTATCCCTACGCAATGGCTGCATCAAATGTAGAGTATATGCCATTGATATCAATAGAGATCCAAACTCAAAACTTGTTTTAACCATACAGAATATTCAACAGTATATCAAGTTACAAAGTCCACAGAATCGTTAACATAGTACAAAACTTGTATGGCAATTGCGTTAACATCAAAATGCTCATCTAATACTCTCATTTTACCCTAAAAGATGGATATGATTAAGATATGCTAAAAATTATTCATAACCTGTTAATGGTATTAATCTTGAAACCACCTTCTAAGCTTCTTAGAACATTGTTTTTCAGCCTCGGGTGTCGATTTTGGCCGAGAGAACTTTGATCTGTATTGTTCGATTAGCATATCGAGTTTATCCACCACATCTCTCCCTGATGGATCTTTATTCCTTCTTGGCCGTTTTCCTTTTGAATTCGCCTCTCCCTCCTCCCGCTTTGCATGCACTTGTCGCGTCCTCTCTTTTGGCTGAGGAATTGCTTCCACCTCTTTCGACTTTAATTTGCGGGTTTCCTTAACATTTGTTTCTACCTTTACAGAACTTCCAACAACAGACTTTTGGCCGGCTTTGCGACCGGGTTTATGATTTGATCCTTTCACCTTCTGATTGGAGCCTTCCAAATTTTCTTTCCAAGATGGTTTTGTCTTTTCACCGGTCAGTTTATGCTTTGGCTTCTTACTAGCTTGGCCTTCTCCAGTTGCAACTCTGTTTTCCATCTCAGCCTTGTTCAACTCTGAATGCTTCGTTGCCCTTTTCTCATCTCTAGATTTCCGTTTCCGTGATTTGTTAGGCTGATCGTCGAATGGATGTGATTTTTCTTTTTGCTGTGCATTGTTCAAATTATCACTAGCGTCTTGATGCTGAGCTTGTATCTTGGCTTTCCTCAGCTTCAATGTCTGCACATTATCGATGGAAAACTCCACTATTGGGCGATGCTCTGGACCAAATGTTTCTGCAAACAACAAATGACAATTTTAGATTATAAATAGAAAAAAAAACAATATAATTAACCTTTATCCCCCCCTGTAAGATATTGAGAAAAAAATGACAAATCTAGCATCAAAATTACAGCCATCATACAAATGAGATATAACAATAGGGACTTACCTGGATTATTGTTGAGAACCCTCAAAGCAACAAGTGCATGCTGATGTTCCGTAAACTCGACAAAGGCAACCCCACGCGACTGATTTTTAACAACAATCTTTCCCTTCTTCACAGTTTTCAAGAACTTGATCTGCATGTCAGAACGGGTAATATCAAATTTAAGACATAAGGCAGCACTCTATACATGCAGAAAACTATGTAACGAATTAAAGGGGAAAAAACACTTTAACAACAGATTATCAATTTTATCTAACCTGTCGTATTACAGGTTTTTGCTTTGTAGCTCGTGAGGTAACTGCATCAATACAAAGTTGTTTCAATTCATTTTCAGTCATGGACTTCGGCAAATTATATATAACAAGTCTTGTCCTCGAAACATGGAAATTCGGGGATTTGAGCTTGGTCATCTTTTTTTCATGTAACCTGGAAGGCATCCAAAGCGCCTTAGATTAAATATAAATAATATAGGAAAGTTAAGTTTCACAAGAGAACCAGCAAGACCATCAAGAACTATCATTATCGAGTTGCTTTCAAAAGTTAAAGCTAATTCAAGGATCTTGTAACATACTTGAATATTCTTTTTCATATAAAAAGATTAAATGTGAAACATTCAGAAAACAGCATCTACCTAACCTTGTCCTTAAACTACCATTCTGTTTTTACTATCCATTTAAATCATTCCTGGCGGAACAAACTTGTGTCAGTATCGGACTTATAATATCAGGGGAAATAAATAAAACTAATCCTTACATTTTGCGTTTTTCCATTTCACTGGACAAAACATCTTTAGCTGCTGGTGTCCCCTCAACTATAAGTCCTTCCTATTAAGTCATATAAACAAGAATGTCAAAACTATACTACAAGCACACTAAATTAATGGACATTCAATTATGTGTAAAGTAAAGCAACCTTTGCCAAGTACAGGTTGCGCTGGTCATGTTCCTCAGCTTTAGCCCTCTCCAATTCTTTATTATGTGCTGATTTCCGATCCAATGCCTTCAACACTTTGAGCTGCCTACCTTGAGAAAAATACCCAAACCAAATGCAGCATTTGCTGCTAAAACTGCTGCAACAGCAGAATCTATAGTTTTAAACTTGAGAAAACCAGTTCCTCTCGGTCGCCTGCCAGGGGAGCAAAAGAACAATAAGTATTACAGGTTTAAAGGAGTGAGACATAAAACATTTCAAACTATTTAGAGTCAATACTTGGTAACTGGATGGAGGACGGGAATAAAGGATTGCACTGCACCAAAGGCAGAGAACCTTTCTTTCACTTCTTTATTGTCGATGTCAAATGGAAGGTTGCTTATGAAAATTGTTCTCTGCAACTCATCTTTCGCCATCAGTTTCTTTGTTTTTGCCAGATTTTTCAGGTTTAATCACATCTGGTTCTATTGCAGATTCAACAGGTAACTTATCTTGCACATCGATGGTTTCATCTACATTCATCTCGTCTTTCCCGTTGGGCATAATGGCATCATCTTGGAGAGGAAGAGAATCCTTAGAAGAGGATGTCACCAAGCTATTCAGCACTTTCCTCGCAATGTCTACTTCCTTATCAAAATCCAGTACAATTGGTGTCCTTTCCATCTCTGATATATTCGAGTCATTTGAAGCAATACCATCATCACTATCATTGTCCCCACCTTCATCTTCCATATCGATACTACTACTATCAGTATCACTTTCCTTGTCAATTTTATTCAGCTGCCCTGTAAAGCCATAGCAATGATACACATATAGCCAAGTACAGATGAGAAGATGAAAATTTTACTAAAGAATTTATCAAGAAAATGGCATGACATAAAGCCAAGTACAGATGAGAAAAGGTGAAAAGAAACGCAACAATTACCAAAGCAAAGGCATAATATATATATGTGGAACATGACTACCTACTAAGCATAAATATATAGTATATCCCTACTGTATGTGCCGTGCTTGTGTGTGTGCGCTCACGCTTGCATGTGATACAAAAACAGACATAAATTACCAGAATATGTTTCAAGAAATCTCTAATCAATCACATGTGCTTATTTATTTGATAATTGATAAGGATGATTGATCCATAAGGTTAAGGTCACTCATTCAGCTCTGGGTGAAACAGCCAAAGGCTCAGAAGAAACAAGATAATAAATATCTTTGATGAGTATACAAATTTTAGTCAAGGACACAAACCATCATCTGAAGCAACAACAGAATTAGCGCCGGCACTGTAAAGTTTCTTCGGAACAGCCCAATCAACAGCTATTGGTCTTTTACAAAAAAAATTCCCATTGAACTTTTGAATGGCCTGAAAATGAAATATAATTGTAAAAACAGGTACCAGAAAAATTATCTATATAGCAAAAAAGGATAAACCAGAAATAGTACATTTTCTGCATCCTGTTTAGATGTGAATTTGACAAAAGCAAAACCCTTGGATAACCTGGGGAAAGGGGGGAAACCATGTGTATAAAATAAAAAATAAAGAAAATTAATTGACAAATTTAAATGATTTTCTAAGAAAAGAAGATACCCCGTTTCAGAATTTTGTGGAATAAATACATCCCAGACAAACCCTGCTGCTAAAAACATATCCTTTATCTCATTTAACTTAGCCTGCAACAATGTTGAATAAGCTAATTTAGAAGTTAGGCTTCGAGTTGCAAGTAGCAAAATCAACTATAGGGATAATCAAAATACACTGTTAGCATCAAGCAACCTTGAAAGGAAGATTTCTGATAATTAGCTTCCACTTTTGAGTCTTAGAGCCCTGGATCACAAGTACCAGAGAAAAATAATTAGATCTTAGATATAAAAAGTAAATAGTAGGAACTCAAAAACAATCATCTTATATAAATAAATAAAAGCACCACAGTTTTGTCATGGTTACTTTACCTCACCACCCAGCTGGCGTGCCCAAACAATGCCTCCATGTATCTCTTTCTGGTGTAACATTGCCACAGCATTACGAGCCAATTTGACGCTTGTGAAAAGCACTGCTGAAGCATCCATTTTGCATCCATCTTGTGCAAGACCTAGGAATTTTTTAATTTATGGCTTGCAATTATTCCACAACAATTAAAGTAATCCTCAAATAAAGACTTGGATTATCAATCAATTTCAATCCAGAAACCATATGTCATAGTTTTTAACAAAGTATAACTATTGACAAGTTTGGAATTGGAAGCACCATAATAACGCAATGTTACAGATTTTTGTGAATGGATATAAAGTATTCACAGAGAGGCATTACAGCAATAGTATATACACATGCAAATGACAAGCATGTAGAACAACATATGTCACAACTCACAACCAGCCTGCTTATATCATAAACCATTTCAACTGGTAATATTTTATAAAGAATATACTGTACAGTGTACACCAACAATGTCGAAAGTAGGAAATTTTCTAGTTCCCTATCAAATTATCCAAGGCGCTCTTCATAAATAACATTACTCTACTTCTGAACTTTCACTATTTCAGGTTTCGTAGGGGGTGAAAGAACAATTTGATTAAATTTTAGAAAAGGACACCTTTTTGCTTACCATGTTGTTTAAGCTCCTCTATTGGAACAGGATAGGTTACAGCACAGACAGTGCCAATCTCCTTTGCACGTCGATGGACATCTTCAGCCATCCCAGCATTATGAAGACCGCCAAATATAACAGTCCTAGCAACCCTTCATAACATAGAGAGGAGAAGAAAAGTCATGTCTTGATGTGTCAGAGAGTGAACAACATAATTCCCAAGTGAAAACCAAAAGTGTACTTAGCGAAATAAAAAACTAATTAAACTAAATATGCATAAAAACGAAAATAAAAAGAAGTGTGTTTTTAATATTATCAGAAAAAACATAAAGCATTCTAATGATTCATATCATGAGTGAAAATTAATTCAAAATTGCCTGCAAATAACTACATGATGATATTTTAGAAGTCCATATATCATTCTAGTTTTTACTAAATTAGCAATCAAATTTAGTACCTCTGCTTCTCTGAGCAATTCCCTTTATCAACTAGATCAGAACAAAGTGTTGCTGACTTTCTAGGTTGCACAGGTTTCTCTATATTTGCATTCAAAATATCAACAACAAAACAAGTCACTAATGAGAAATAACAACAAACTATTGTAATTGAATAACATAAAAGCTTTTGTAACCTAATTTCGGCAGGCTCGAACCATGCTCTTCTACAGTTGAGGTAAGACAACCATCGTCATTCTTTGTATTGGTCGCATCATCTGAGACAACCAGTAATTAACATCCAGATAACACATGCATACAATTCCACAGTTATTCTGAAATAGCCAAACCTTGGGTTGTCTTTGACCGCCGTTGCTCCAATGGAGCACGGTGCATTGCATATTTAACTGCAATTTTTCGACCTCCTACAGAAGAACCATTCTTCAACTCAATAGCACGGTTGGCATCTTCAGCAACAGCACTTCCAAAGTGACGCAAACACAGAGAAAAAGGTAAAGAAGAAAGTTAAACCCCAAACGAAGCATGAAAATTCAGCCCAACCAAGAGCCCTAAAACTCTGAAACGAAAAAAAGTAATAGCGTAAAAAAAAGATTCAAATGGACCTCAATTTTAACTTACAATTGAACGAAAGCGAAGCCACGATGTTCAGTTGACCCTATGAACAAAGAACACATTAGTATGTTTATCAACAACTGATTAAAATCACGATGAACAAATCAAATTAAAACCATACCTTTCTTTGTAACCATAAAACAACGCCTAATCGGACCGACATCGCTAAATGTTTCTTCAAGCTGGAAGGAAAAAAACCATTTACTACTATTTTAATTTCTATATATACAGAAAAGAATCTAAGACATAGTTCTCAAGCATAATTTCCAGAAGGGGACACCTGAGAGTTGGTGAAAGAGTAAGGCAAGTTGGTGACGAAGACGGTGGAAGGTGAGTGTTCGGATTCGGGTCTTTTGTCGAACCTCTTGTTTTTCCCCATTGATGGATGGTTTGGCTGCGGAGGAAGTGGAATGGAAAACTTTCGAACCTAGAACCCAAAGCATGTTCTCTTTGTATAAAGCGTATGGGGGGTTTAAAATTTTATCCGGGTCGGGCATAAAAATAGATTAGGGTTCTCTCTGTACGAATTTAAGGCCCAAAATACGTTATGATCCCTGTATTATTTATGGGCCTACTTTTGGATCCACAGGGCTGCTTCTATAAACTTGATTAACCCGAGAACGTTTTCAAATACGAATAGAAAAAAAAGATGTTGTTAATGTTTGAATAAGTAATTATTTTATTTTATTTTTTACTTTTTTATTTTTATAGTATTTTGATTTTTTATATTTTATTTTAAATTAAAAAAATCCCTTCATGGATGAAAATTATTAATTAATAAATTTTTTTATTAATCTATGATAAATATAAGACATTATATGTTCAAAGATAACTCTCAATTATTTAACATTAAATGCTCACACCCTTAGTATTTTTGGGCTCGAATCCGGACCCTTAAAAAAATAATAACAATATATTTACTACTAAGATCGTTTAATTCATACTAGTTAACAAATAATCATTGCTTCAAAATAAGATTTTTTTTATCTTAAAATGAAACATTGGCTGAACCAAAACAAATAGCTAAAATAAAAATAAAACATTACAATTTATACCTAATAAATATCAAACTCTAAACTCAAATAAGATAGACCACGTTAGAATAGATAAATTTTATAACATAAATCGTATATAATCTATATATTAAAGAATAAATTCACAAATAAAACACTTATCACAGTTTTAGGGTGCTTGTAGTTTGATCACCTAATTTTTAAAAATTATAATATGATCATCAAAATTTTAGTTCGTTTATAGTACGGTTCTAATATTACCTCTTGTTAGTTTTAGCTAACGCGGAATGTTACCTCCCGTTATATTCTTCTTCTTCTTTTTGCAGAAATAGAAAAAAAAATCAATGGAGAGAACAACACTTCTCCGCTCTCTCGCGTGTTCATCACTCGCTTGCAACAAATTCCTTTTCTCAACTCCCAAACACTCTCGCTTGTTTCTGTCCAAATCTGTTCTCGCTTGCACGGATTCAAGAAAGTATCTGAGGAGTTCATTTGAAGAGTGTAAATCAAAAGCTGTTCTTTTCAAGCATAAAAAAAAACTAGAGCAGAGGGTTTATCTGTTTCAAACAGTGACGAGAACAAGGCTTTCGATATTTTTTTTCCCGAACTCCACTGTAAGTTCTTCATTATTTCACTTTAAAAAAATATGAATTGAGAATTTAGTAAAACTTGAGCTTGCTGCTTCGGCCGACTACATTAACTGGTGTGCATGATGTTATTGAGAAAATAGTCAGAATAAAGATGCAAGACCTTGATGTTTAGAAAACTATTATGTGATGATTTGAATCAAAGAGTTGCACAAGTTATTATGACTTGTGCTTTGTGGTTGGTGCAGAAAGGATTCCACTAGAATTCCTCACATCTTGGAACATAGTGTATTTATTATGTGGTCAGGGTCATGACTAGGTTGTTGGAGGACCTGTGTAAATTCTTGTAAAGGGATATTTAGATCTCGAACTTATTTTGATCAAAATGAAGAAAAAAAAATACAGTTGTATTAAACTGAGCAGACCCACTTGCATATTGTTTTTCCCAAAAATAATTTTACTTGTTAACGAGATTCGAATATAGGATCAACAAAGTCATGGGCTCAATGATCTAACCACTACTGTATACCTATTTTTCTGCTTTTTAATGACAACAACTAATAGATATACTCTATTTCGGGACCCTATTTTTTGAGGCCCTGCGTCGTCGCGCACTGTGCACTGGCTCAGCCACGCCCCTGTATGTGGTAGTTTGAAAAGTATTCCCTTCAAAAGAAGGAGGAGGAGAAGAAAGAAGAAAACACGAGGTAACGTGCCATGTCAATTAAAACTAACAGAGGTAATGTCAGGGAGCGCACTGCAAGCGAACTAAAAGTTTGATGATTGCAAATTTCAAAAGTTAGATGACCAAACTGTAAAAAATACCTAAAATTTTAGGAATTATTTGTAAACTTTACCCTTAAATTAATTATCAATATACCTCATAATAATCCATAATCCATTAATACAATTTATATTTACAAAGCGATAGCTGACTTTTACAGGACCCATTCAGTCTGTTGGTGTGATGATTATCCTATCCAAATTATTAATAGTTGATTAATCACGTAATCAAACTTTAAACGTGTCGATTAATGATTATACGGTTTGCCAAAATAAGACAAGTTTTGGTTTACATTTGTTAAAAAACTTCTTTGAATTTAATCACGTCACCACATATTGTATATACCGGCATTTTTCAAACCCTGGGTTTTCAGCAATTATTTTTATAATTTATTTATGAAGTTTGGATTTTGATTAAATTTAATGAATAAAATAATTTGTTAGTTTCTTGTTGATTACGAAAATTAATTTATAATGTTGTAGAATTCATAAACATTTTAAATTGATTTTTAGGATAATACGAAAATTTAAATTATTGGATTGATGTCACCTTCTAATGCAAAAGAATTGCATACAATTAATATATGCAATTCTTTTGCATTAGAAGGTGACATCAATCCAATAATTTAAATTTTTAATATTTTTATATTTGTTGAAATTTGAAGGAAAATAAAATTAGCACTTGACATTACAAATATCACACGAATAAAATATAAAAAGCTTATCATAAACGTATTTTGTTAAATAATAAAAAAAGCAAAGTGTTTTTCAAGATAATATTGTCAATTACATTAAATGAATATATAAAATATTTATATTGATGTAAAATAAACAATTAGAATTTTTCAAGCGGAGATAACGAGTTTCATACAAATTTATTTTAACTTATATGACGAGTTCTATTTTTTAAAACATATTTTAAGGAACGCATCACATCCACATGACAAATTCCACGTACATTGTAACAAATTATTCAAATCCTAAAATAATTCCTAAATACCCTCAACTTTTTAATTATTTTTCGTACACATTATTCTCAAAATTTAAGCTCATTAACGAGTCAAATAATTTATATTATTAACTATTTTAATTAAAATGTTGATAGTTTTTTCTCCTTGAAAAAATTTCATCCAATACGCACAAAGGTATAATGATAAAATTAATCCTCAGTGTTTATTCAAATAATTGTTTTGGCCATTATTTTTAAAACATTTTATTTCAATATTTTAATTTTGATAAAAGTAACTCTTATTGGATGAAAAACTTTAGTTGACCGGTCATTAATGTGTTATTTGCATATGTGATTAATTAGTGGCATAACACATCACTTTAGGTGATATAACCTATGTCACGCCATCACTTTGGTGACGTGGCATGTGTCGTGTCATTAATTAAGCTCATTTGAACATAGTACGTTAGAGATATGAATTGATTGTTAATTAACTAACAATTTCCATTTAATATGAATTATTTTAACCAATATTTAAAATATTATGGGTTAAAATGCTTCAAAAAACAATTGGGACTAAAGTGACTATTTAAATAAATGTTTGAAGACTAATTTTTTCATTAGACCCAAAAAAAGATCATGTTAACAAGATGAATTAGAGCTCAAAAGAGATATTCTTAAGAAAAAAAAACATCAACTATTTGTATTAACAAATAATCCTTTTGTACAGAGACCTAATATCTTCTCTTAACAAAAACAGGTTATTGCACTCATTTATATTAACAGCTTCCATATCAAACACTTGGCCACCAGAATACTTGTTCTACTCAAACCACATCTTTGCGATTAATTCCTTCTTGAAACAGGTAGCATGATCCTCTTCTTCAGGAGAATCTCCGGCTATCAGTCTATATAAATACACTTTCTGCTTTTGTCCAGGGCGAAATGCACGGCCTATGGCTTGTCGGGTCACAGATGGATTAAGATGAACATCCAACATAATAATTCGTGATGCCCCGACCAAAGAAATTCTCTCTCCACAAGCCTTGATAGATCCAAAGAAAACTCTAGCATCGGGAGAGTTGTTGAAGAGATCCATCGACAATTCCCTTTGTTCATTACTTGATTCACCAGTGATTGAGAAAATCTCAGTTCCTGGATGCCAACCCTTCATTTTCACAGATAATCTCTCTAAAAGTTTCAAGGGGATGAGATACTGACTAAAAACAAGGAGCTTCTCACAGGCTGACTTATATAAATTTAACATATTGAGAAAAAACTTTGCTTTGGCTCCTTCTTTGATACCTTACTTGTCTAACAAGTCATCCATCTTGTTATCGATATTATCATCAGTCGTGTCGGACTTCTCCGAGAAAGAACCCAGTTTAGGATGTAAGAGCACTACCAACAGATGAAATATTGAACCTCCTTCGTTATTAACTTCTGAACTTCATCCATCTGTCTGGAACTAAGACCCAGCACAACGGTGAAATCAACAAGTCCAGGAAGCTCATCCAAAAAATCACCTTTTTAGTAATAAGAACTTTGCTGGTCATCTCACGTAGATCATGTATGACCGAGACTTTCCTCTCAAAGTTTTCATCCTTCTGCAAAGTGTGCTCCACCGAATCGTAAAAAGCTGCATCTGCTCCAGCTTTGAACTGTTTCCTCCCACCATGTATTTGTACCTTGCTCATTACCCTCCTCATTATTAATTTCGAAGAATCTGACCTCAGAAACTTCTGCCAAACAAGGTTCAATATGTTAAACACCTCTTTGACATGATTTTGGTAGAGAGTTCCTGAAAGTACAACTTTTGGAGGTGTTTGAACCTTTGCAAGGGATTGTAACACATCAGTGTTTTCGTTCCTCAGTGTGTGGCCTTCATCCAAAATTAGACTTGAAGGTGCTTTGAGCAGTATCTCCTGGAAAGAAACGGAAGTTGGGTCATTTCCACCATCACAAATTACAGTAGCGAACTGCTTGCACCCCAGAAAAAGGATACTCTTGTTCCCAACCCACTGCTTCAGCACCTCTAAGCTTTCACAGAATAAAAATCAAGCTGTTGAATATCCTCTACTTGCCACCTTAGGAACTCCTTTTCCC